GGGACCAAAAGAGGGATATAACATGAAGTGTATAAAATATACCTCAAACAGTGATAAGCCCTTCTTCAATATTGAAGAGGGGCTCAAAATAAGCCTATTTTTAGTTCTGTAAAATGCCCAAAAATGGAAGCACACTAGGCTAATAAATCATGCAAGAAAATTGACATACAAGGGAATATTGAAGCAAGTGCAATACGGGGGCCTCAAACAGGGTTGAGCCCTTAATAAAACAAGAAAATGAGCTCAAAAAAATGACCTTTTTAGTTTTGGTCGGAGCTCAAATCAGTAAGCATGTTGGCTAAGAAATTGGTGCAAAAATAAGCTCAAAAAAAGGAAAAATGCTACTTACCCTTGAAGGCTTGACTTTGGTTGCCTCTTGGCTTGAGTTTGTGGCGGTGGTGCTTGGTGGTGATGAAGGAATGAGGTAGAACTTGGAAGTTTTTCAAGGAAAATGAGAGAGATGGATGGAGATATGGATGCTTATGCTTGGAGCAATTTTTTTAACCTCAAAAACCAATGCTTGCAGATGGTTATATGGACAAAAAGGAGGGAGCAAAGGGAGGGGAAGAGTGGGAAAAAGGACCAAGTTCCTTTTCCCAAAAGATATTTCCCCCGGATACAGATATTTTGGGGGAAAAAAGTGCATAGCTGTAAAGTGCACACAGTGAGGAACAAGGCCGGCCACTTTTTGGAGCTTCAGGTGGCCGGCCGGCCACCCCCCCTTGCCGGCCGGCCAAGGGTCAAAAGGGTCAATGAGAATTAGTAGCCGACCATATGATATTAGGGTCCTCTCATGTGTGTACATCACAAATATGTGGTTAAAAGTTCAAGAAAATGGCCCGAGGTTGTTCAACATTGGCTCGGAAAGAGGGGTTCAAAAGGGTCAAGCAACATTAGTGGCTGACCACCAACTTTTAGGGTCCTCCCATGTGTGTACATCACAAATATGTGGTTAAAAGTTCAAGAAAGTGGTCCCAAGGTGTTCAACATTGGCCCGAAAGTGAGAAAAACGAGCGTCGGAGGGCGAAAATGGAATATAACTGGTTTGCCAAGATAATTGCTGGCCTCCCACCCTTCAGTGACCTTCCTGATGATAAAACAGAGGTACCTGCCAAAAATGAACAAGAACCGATGCAAAACGAATGTTCGGGGATCAAAACGCGCAGTTCGGGGTCTCAGAAATGGGCTGTTAAGCACCGAAAGTGGCATTCGGCCACGAAGTGGGTTTCTCGGACCTCAGTGTCCCTCAAAAGGGACAAAATGAGATGTATGCCAATATTTAGAGCAAACGGAGATGGTTAGGCAGTCCCGAACCGAGGCGCACGGCCAACGGTCTCGAAAAACCGAGAACCGGACTCCAAAATGGGCAAAATGGCCTGCGGCCACAAAATGTAGCCCACGGCCACTGAGAGATGGTCTACAGGACCTCTCCCTTCCCTCAGGAAAAGAAATAGAGAAAACCGAGTCTGGTTCGCAAACCGAGGCAAGGCACAAAAGAAGGTTCGGGAGCCCGGAGGCAGGGCTCACGGCCAAGACTCTGCAACTTCTGAACGAGCACATTATGCAACATCACCAAGCGCTCAATCGGTGACGTCTGAGTCTTAAGGTCGGTAAAAAATGGGGTGTCTACAGCATGGTTTTGTCACAAGTTTAAGTAAGTCTAGTTTACTTAAACCTGGGGTGGAGCTAGAGGTGGATCTGGGCCTGGTTTCTGAGGTGGGCCGTAGAGATGGATTAGATAATATGAGGAAAGGGGAGTGCAAGCCCAGGGATTGAAGTCTGACTTTCAGTGTGGGCTTAAAAGTGTAGTAGGGCCTGTATTGATCTGTTCAGACATATCACAGACCTAAGGTGATGCTATATGCTTAAGTAAAGAGATTATAAAGAAAAAAAGGGAGAACGAGTGTTGTTCGAAAATCAAGTGGTAAGAAGATTAAAGAGATGAAGAAGGGCTATCTTGAGCTTGCTAGAAGACATGGCCACAATGGAGATTCATCAAGTAAATTGGGCCTAAAAGGGGCAATCTAGAGAGCAGCCACTGCGGTAGTATCAGTGTCCTCATCATATGCCAGTGAAGTGGCTAGAGACAGAAAAATGCTTAAAGAGGCTAAAGAAACTCTACATCTGGGAAGATTATTGGGAGTAAATTTCAAAGGTAAAGAAGAGGAAGTGATGTCCAAAATTGTGGAGCTAGAGGCACAAGATAGAGCAAGATTGGGAGAGGGTTCTAATGCTGCAGTCCAAAGTGTAACATTAGGGGTCAGAGGACAGTGATAAAGGTTAATGATGAAGGTCTTATCATGGAATGTGAGGGGTCTAGGTAGGAAAGAAAAAAGGAGTAAGATAAAAAACATGTTGAAAGCTAGAGGGGTTGACATTGTTCTGTTCCAAGAGACAAAAAAGCATTTATGTTAGAAAATGAGGTAAAGGAATTATGGGCCAGGGATAGGATGGAATTTATGTCAGTTGATGCTGAGGGAACAGCTGGTGGTTTATTATGCATATGGGATCCTTGTGTGCTGCTGGTATCCAGTTGTTGTTGTAATAGAAGATTTATTCTCCTATCAGGGGCTGCCTCCAGATGGTTGTTGGTCTGATGTATGGCCTTGGAGGCATGTTGGTGTATGCAGATGTGCAGATTTTAGGAGCACTACAAGAAAAAACACTTTTAGTGACCACCTATTTTTTTGGTCGCAAATAGTCCACTTTCTGCGACTAAAATCTAACTTTTGGCGACCATAATTTTTTGGTCACGAAAAATCACCTTTTGGCGACCAAAAATAAAGTTAGTCGCGGAAAGTATACCTATTGGCGACCAAAGGCTTTTTTGGTCGCAGAAAATCACCTTTTGGAGACCAAAAAAATGTTGGTCGCAGAAAGTATACCCTTTGGCGACCAAAGGCTTTTTTGGTCGCGGAAAGTATACCTTTTGGTGACCAAAAAAATGTTGGTCGCGAAAAGTATACCCTTTGGCGACCAAAAAAAAAGTTGGTCGCGGAAAGTATACCTATTGGCGACCAAGGGCTTTTTTGGTCGCGGAAGATTACCCTTTGGCGACTAAAGAAAAAAGTTGGTCCCAGAAAGTATACTATTGGCGACCAAAGGCTTTTTTGGTCGCGGAAGATTACCCTTTAGCGACCAAAAAAAAAAGTTGGTCGCAGAAAATTATGGCGGGATAATTTTTTAAAAAAATGGATACTACTGTAATTATATGCTATTTTTCTGTTTAGGTATTAAAAGTTTTATAAAATAATATATAACCCAATTTTTATGAGTTATATATTTTCTCTACCAAATATGAACAAGAAGCATATTATTGGCAGAGTGGATTGGGTGCATGGTGACTCCTTGGTCAGGAATTCAAGTCTTAGGCAGCGCAAAAGAATTAATTTTTTTGGGTCAAGGTACTGACTTTTGGCGACCAACTTATCTTTGGTCGCTAAAAGTTCCCTCTTGGCTAATATGAATTGGACTTTTCGTGACCAAAAAAGTTGGTCGCCAATGGTCACTTTTTTTGCTCGCTAAAAGTTCCCTTTTGGCTAATATGAATTTGACTTTCCGCGATCAAAAAAGTTGGTCGCGAATGGTCACTTTTAACGACCAAAGGCTTTTTTTGTCGCAGAAAACTATCTGTCACGAGGCTTTAGCGACCAACTCGCGACCAACATATTTTGGTCTCGAAAAGGTTTTAGCGACCAAATGTGGTACTTTCCGCGACCAAACATGTTCATCACGGAAAGTGTTTTTTCTAGTAGTGGAGGTTTGTTGGAGGTAAGTTTGTGTGTAGATTTTAGGAGGGGAGTGGAAGCTGGTGGACGTTGCTTATACAAGGCCTCAGAAAGCATGTCAGTTGTTCTAACTAGTTACAGACTGTTTTGTTTTCTGCTGCTTTTAACTATGTTTTTGCCTTGTTTGTTGGTTTCTCACCAACTAGGAGATTGCTGCTTACTCTAGATCCAATCTCCTCTTTATTGTTGTAATTCGGTTGTTTTCTTCAATAAAGTTTTTTTGCCGATCAAAAAAAAAAATCATCATCATCATCAAAACATCATCATCATCATCATCATCATCCTCAACACACACACAGACACAGAGAGAGAGAGAGAGGGGGGGTACACAGATCTGTGCCCGTGATAGCGTCGGTGATGGTGCTCTGGTGCTCCCCCTTACTCTTCTCTCTTTCTCTCTCGCCAGTGATGGCAGCACCGGTGATGGTGCTCTGGTGCTCTCTCTCTTCCCCCTTCCTTTTCTCTCTTCCTCTCTCGCCGATGATGGCAGCGCTGGTGATGGTGCTCTGGTGCTCTGGTGCTCTCTCTCTTCCCTCTCCCTCTTCTTTCTCTTTCTCTTCTTCTTTTTTCTCTCTCTTCATCTCTCTGTTTCAGCAATATAAGACGGAAAGGGAAAAAAATAAAATACCCAAAACAACGTCGTTTTGGGTATTCGGGCCAAGTGTTTCTCGAGCTACCAAGGATTATCCATCATTTTTAAATTTAAAATATTAAATTAGTTATTAAAGATACTTTGGTAATAGTAGTGTATATTGACTTTTCAAGAAGAATTTTTTATTTTTGTCCTTAATGTATTAAAATTTTATTATGTAGGGTTTGATCAAATTTCCTAATATTGTGTCCACTTAGTATGTTTGTTCATTTCATTTTGGATAAGTTTTATGTATAATCAATTTGTTTATGTATCATTTTCTATGTTATTTGTCAAATGGAGGAGTATGTTATAAAAGTGAAAATCTTTTAAAAATTTATGAAAATTAGGGGGCATTTTTTTGTTTTTTACTTTTTTTTTTTGTGAAATAAATTTTTGATTCCCTCCTCCCTTTCTCATCTGTTTTGATCATTCTCTTTCCCGTTCATTAAATGTGTTTTTTTTTAATTTATTTTTTATTTTATATATATGTTGCAGTGTGTACTAAATTTTTTTTTCCCCATGTTTAGAGAGAGAAAAAAAAAAAGAACAAATCCTAACAATCTTATTAAGAATTAAGAAAAATTATAAATATTTGATGCAATTGTTCATCACGTACATTCTTTACAAACATTGTCTTGAACAAACAAATCCTCGTAAAAAAAAGGTTACATACTCAATCTCTTCCTTCGACTTTCTCAAGGTAGAGAAAAAGAAAAACAAAAACCAAAAAAAACTTATCACCCAACAAATTGTTTTCTTAAATATTTAATGCTAAAAAAAAATATTTAATGGTATATTTAATGCTATTTGAACCACCCCCCCCCCAAAAAATAAATAAATAAATAAATAAAAATAAATAAATAATAGACACAAGTGACTCTAAAACACTAGTTGACCCATCTGCAGTTTGATCTAATCTGGCCTTTCTTCCCAGTTAATGGCTTTATATTACCCATCTTAACCATAGACTTAGCAAAATCATTCCAGAATGACCAAACATCAGTGCTATATCTCTTCACCAACTGATCTGTCTCACCACCATTATACAGTGCTTGATCAGAATGCAAAAGCCCCTTCTTCTTCACCAAGTTGGAGAAATACTTGGTGTCGAAAATGGCAGCTGTTGGGTCCAGAGGTGCTAGGTTTGAGTTCCCATCGTTTTTCGGGCATCTAGATTGGCGATCACGCGCAAAGGTCGGGTCGATGTTGGATTCTTCGTAAATATGTTTCCTGAAGGTAAAACACTGTGCAAACCCAATGGAGTGGCCACCAGAGAGAGCAACGAGGTCCTTGGCGTCGAGGCCTTTATTTTTGAAGTTTTTGATGAGGGCAGGGAGGTCCATCAATGGTGAGGGGAGGTCCTTTTTGGCTTTAGTCCTACTGGCCGTGGTTGAGTCTCTTCTCCCTAGTTGCACATTCCATGTTGGTCCCCCAAGCTATTTGTAAAACACGACATGTTTTAGCACACAAATATCTTGATAAAAAAAAAAAAAATAATCACAAAATTAGATACAATTATCTTATATAAAATTGAATTTCGTGATCAGATTCTGTGTAGTTAATAGTTATAATCTTGTGATCACCATAATATTATTGTACGCATATAGTAATGTACCACAACTACAGAGTCGCGAGCTGCAACTGCCAAAATATCAGCACACGATACCACATGGCGTCCACATGTCTTGTCGACCTCCAACTTGATTCTGTCAATGACTTCAAATCCTCTAGCAGAATTATTATTAGCAGGAGCAGTCTTTTCACTGTCAATGGTGGAGGTTTTGTCAAGAAGAATTGAAGCATCACAGCCCTGCATTAGAATCAGACCACGTCTCTGCTAGTTTAGATATCACAATTGATTATATCAACTACTATCCCATCAAAGGTAACAAAGCAAAAAAAAAGTAATTAAATTATTTATTTTATGTTTTGAATGAAATTCTTATTTTGCTTATCAAAAAAAAAAAAGCGAAAAAAAAAAAAAAAAAAAAAAAAGCGACTGAACAAAATCTTGAAAAGAAAAGAGTTGGCTAGTCATACTTGAACGAAACAATCGTGGAAGTGTAGGCGGAGCAAAGAAGCGCCCATGCGGCGCTCTTGCCTTACAGCATCCTCCACAACTCTTCTGATGGTGGGTAAAGCTTGGGGACATGTTTTGTAGTAGTAATAAGGTGAAAGTGTTGACGAGAAAGCTGTGGTTGCAAGAGAAAGCAAGAGAAAGCTGGCAAGGAGAGAGAAGCTGTGATAACCCATAACTCTTTTGGTAGTAATAAAAGTAGTGATTATGATCTGTTGTATGTTTTTTGGGTGATATTTGTGCAAGGTGATGATACCTGTATTTATAGGTGAGATATCTTGGACTCAGGCAACAAGAATAAGGGCTTAGACATGGCCAGGAAGACCAGTTCTAGGAAGCAAACATGTAGTTATCAACTTAGACTTTGGAAAACCTATCCATGCAAGAAAGAGAATTAGTACAGAAAATATTGAAGTAGTCATGCAAAACTGCAGCTTGCAGGTATCTTAATCACAGCAAAATTACCATAGTAACCTTTTTTTTTTTTTGGTTCTTCTTTTTTCAATTTTTTTTTTTAATCTTTCAAAATTTATGAAAAAAGCTCAATCTCATGATGACATTCTTAAAAAGGATTTGATTTTGTTTGATGCATCTTAAAAAAGTCTTTTATGGGCTTTTTTTATTTTGTGATCTTGTGTAAGACCATTCGATGTAAATCTGCCTATAACTTAAACAATACAAGTAGCTCAAATAAGGTAAAATAAAATGATTATTATGAAGATGAGGAAGTACTGGTTTACATTGTGATTATAAATTATTAAAAGGGCAATTCAGCTAAACCACCCATGTAGATATTCTTATTTATGTAGAGAGTTATAAGTTCCCACAAACATTTACCCTGTTTGGCGAGTTTTTAAAATCTATTTTCTGTTTATTTTTTTTCCCTCAAAAAATTTAAAATTAGACTAGTTACAAAAATATTCATAATTTTTATATAAAAAAAACTTTTGGGTAAAAATATTTTTTGACAATAATTTTAGTGAGGACATTCGAGTCATTAATGACGATAGAGACTAAGACAATTTTTTTTTTTTTAAAAAAAAAAAAAAAAAAAAACCTCCTAATTCAAAACTTCATTCATAAAGATTCAGTCAATAAAATTTATTAACATGGAACAAATTTATTCCTTGCTTTGTTTTGTATCAGATAAAAAAAAAACAAAAAAAATTAATGAAATATCTCTCTCTAACTTTTGATAGTAGGAAAGCTTTAATATATTTTTTTCTTATTAGTTAAGGTCCTTTAATGATATTATTAGAGAAATTTTAACTTATCATAGAGAAATTTATGACAAACAAAAAATTTTCTTTAAAGAACTGAAATTTCTCTTGGTTGAAATTTCTCTATGCCGAAATTTCTCTATAAAAATATTGAGGAATCCGAACTATTATAAAAATATTATATATTTTTTATCTTATAAAATGTTAATAGTAAAAATATTTTTTGAAAATAATTTTAGTGAGGACATTCGAGCCATTATTGAAGATTGAGAATAAGACCATTTATAAAAATAAAAATAAAAAAACTTCTAATTCAAAACTTCATCCATAAAGATTTAGTCAATAAAATTTATTGACATGGAACAAATTTATTCCTTGCTTTGTTTTGTATCAGGTAAAAAAAAAAGAAAAAGAAAAAATTAATGAAATATCTCTCTAACTTTTGATAGTAAGGGAGGTTCAATATATTTTTTCTTCTTAGTAAAAGTCCTTCAATAATATTATTAAGGAAATTTTAACTTGTCATAGAGAAATTTCAAATTTCTCCGTAACAAATTTTTCTGTGACGAGTTAAAATTTTCCTTTCAAGAACTGAAATTTCTCTTTGCTCAAATTTCTCTATGCCGAAATTTCTCTGTAAAAATGTCGAGAAATTCAAACTATTATAAAAATATTATATATATTTTATCTTACAAAATTTTAATATTAAAGATTTTAAACAAAACCACCACCTCCCCCCCCATATAAGAGTTTTAGAGATAAAATGTTTTGGTCTGCTCTACTCAGTTGAGGACTGTTATGGGTCAAGTTCTATTTTGCTGGTCTGCTTTGTTCAGCTGTCTGAGAACTCAAGAATGAGTGTTATATGTAAAGAGGAAAAGCCAAATTTTGCAGAATTGATTGAGTTGGTGAAGGCATGCTAGTGTGTTTAGTTGAGAGTTAATTTAGTTGGTAGAGGTATGCTGCTGCTGTGAAGGTATGCTCCTGCTAGATGCTATAGAGTTGATGCTAGATTGCTTTATGACACTTGTTCATTGAAATGTCACTAGAGCCTTTTATGTTTGTCGTTTTGTGGTATTTTTCAAAAACGTGCCACTAAATATCATTTTTGTGGCATTTTCTAAAAATATGCCACTAGTGTAGTGCCACTAAAGTATGTTTTTGTTGTAGTTTTGTGACACTTGTTCGTTGAAATGTCACTAGAGCCTTTTATGTTTGTTGTTTTGTGGCATTTTTCAAAAACATGCCACTAAATATTATTTTTTGTGGCATTTTCTAAAAATATGCCACTAGTGTAGTGCCACTAAAGTATGTTTTTGTTGTAGTGAGAGGATGGACTAATATGCAATGATGCTGCTTTTTTTGTTCTGTTTTTGTTCTTCAGTGTCAAATTTGCAATGCTGGTGTCTACCTGTTTTTGAGTTTGTGTTTATCCTGTCTCTTTGGTTGGTTGCTCACCAACTTTGGGAATGTTAGCAAATGTTAGGATGGGCTTCTTGGTGCCAACGTAGTTGGAATGATTTAACTCATCGTGATGCTTTTGATCCCGTTTCTCTTTATTAATGTTTGTTATTTTTGTACCTTATACTTTGCTCTTGCATCAATAAAGTTTTTTCTTTGCTGATCAAAAAAGTATATATATATTTTGGTCTGTAAAAGTGAAAATTTTGTTGCAAAAAATATTTAGGGACCAATTTCTATCATTATGAGGATAGTCGCTAAAAGAGTGTCTCGAAAAGTAAAAAAATAAGGCTTTTAGCTATAAAATTTCGAAAATGTCACTAATAAATAGACTTTTAGGGATAAAATAATTTGGTCTCAAATAGATTTTTTTTTTAGACAAAAAATTTGTCCCAAAAAGATAATAATTCATCACTAATGTCTAATTTTTGTTGCTAAAAATATAATAATGATACTTTTCGCAACAAAATTTTTTAGTTCCTAAAAAATAATTTTATTCCTAACTTTTAGTCTCTAAAACCTTAATTTTTTATAGTGCACCTTTTTTTACAGGTATAAATAAATATGTCAATTGGCTACACTACAAGAAAAGTGGGCTTAAAAGACGGAACTACTTGCCGTCTCAAAAAGCACTTTTGCGACGGCAGAAAATGCCGTCTCAAAAAAGCAGAGTATTTGCGACGGCACCATTTGTCGTCTCAAAAAAGCAAAGCATTTGCGACGGCACAATTTGCCGTCTCAAAAAATGAGAGTATTTGTAACAGTATTTTGCTACTGTCGCAAATACTCTCCTTTTTTGAGACGGTATTTTCTGCCGTCGCAAATATTTTGCTATTTTTAGACGGCATTTTCTGCCCGTCGCAAAAAAGTGACTTTGGTGTTTTTTTTTTATTTTTAGTGAATATTTTTAAAATTTTAAATATTTTTTTTAGAAGCACCTTACTTAGATGTATCTAAAAAATAAAAAATTTATGAAAAAATATTTTTAAAAATTAATATATACATAAAAATATAAAAAAATGTATTGAATTATTGTATTTTTTTTTGTATTTTTGGTATTTAGTGAATTTTTAAAAGATTTTTAACAATTTTTTACTTTTTATGTGTATTTATGTTAGGTGTGTCTAAAAATTAAAAAAAAATTACTTAAAATATTAAAAAAATTCAGTAAAAATAATATAACACGGAAAACAAGAAAGTATAATTTTCTCAAAAGAGTTTTTGGAAAACTCTAACCCAGCATAGTGATCATATATATACAGTCACAAAATGGTTTAAATAAATTCAACGGTATTTTTCTGTAGCAAAAAAAAAAATTAAAAAAAAACGATGTCGTCTTACTCTTTTGATATAACATTTATCTTTTCATTCATTTTTTCATCTTCCTACCTCTCTGTCTCTATCTCTGTCTCTTCTCTTTATATCTCTTTCACTCATCACTCTTATTTCTCTGTCTGTCTGTTTCTCTCTCTCATTTTCTCTCTGTATCTCTCGCTTATCTCTCTTCTCTCTATCTCTCTCATTTGTCGTCTCTCTTGCTCATCTCTTTTTTCTCTCTCTCTCTCTCTCTCTCTCTTCTCTCTCTGTCTCTGTCTCTCTCTTTTCTTGTGTCTTTCTCTCGTTCATCTCTTTTCGATCTATTTCTCTATCTTTTTGTCTATCTCTCGCTCATCTTTTGTTTCTCTCTCATTTTCTATCTCTATCTCTATCTCTATCTCTCTCTTTCTCTCTCTATGTCTTTTTCTATCTATCTCTCTCTCCCTGTCTCTCTCTCACTTATCACTATTCTCTCTCTCTCTCTCTCTCTGCTTGTCTATTTGTTTATTTCTCCCTCACTATGTTCGTCTTGCTCACTCTCTCACTCTCATCTTCTCTATTTATCGAGCTCCTTCTCGATTTATCGACCTACTATAAGAAAATACACGTTTAGCAACCATTTTTTCTCTCTCTCGCTCATCACTCTGTCTCTGTCTCTGTCTCTATCTCTCTTCTTTATCTGTCTCTCACAAAATTAAAATATTTAAAAAATTGATTTGAATTAAGTTTTGAAAAGAGCTTTAAATTATGTGTTTGGTTATGAGTTTTGAAAAGTAATGATTATATTTTGAATTGAGTTTTGAAAAATGGATGTAGAATTATGATTTGAAAACTTAAAACAAACACCATACTTAAATCAATGGGTGGAACTATGACCACCACCACTACTGTCACTACTATTACCATTACCTCTCATCCACCATCGCCACTCCATCTCCTCTACCACTACCACAACTTCACTACTAATCTCCTTTGCCACCACGACCACCACGACCATCACCTCTTATCCACCACCTTCACTGTCGCTCCCTTTCGTCTACCACAAAAAATTAGTTCATGGTTTTTAATAGCAAAAAAAAATAAAAAAACGAGCTGCGGAAAAATATTTTTTATTAAAATATTACCCCTACTTCTTCAAAATAAAAAAATAAGAATTTTCTTTTCATTAAAATAAAAATGAAACAAATAAATTTTCAACCTTAGTAATTAAAAAAAATAAAAAGTAAAAAAAAAAATCATTAACTACAAAAAAATAAATTTATTTTAACAAAAAAAAATTCATTTTCCCGCTCTTTAATTCCCCCATTTCTTTTCCCCCTTTTGTTCCTCATG